AAGTTAAGCAACCGATTGCCAACAAAACGGAACAATTGGAAGCAGCGGCTGCCCAGCAATTCAGCACTTATTCTAATAAAGCTAAAGAAACCGCGTATAAGCCAATTGATTACTATAATAAGCAAGAAGCCTTTTATCGGGGATTGTTTTGGATATGTGTTTTAGTACTGATAGTTCTCTGACTAATTAGTGGCAGTTAAGAAATACCTTACTTATGACCAAAGAATTAATAATTATTGCTCTGGTATTCTGCCTAATTTATTACTACCAACAAAATCAAAATAAAAGTTTGAATATCCAGCCATTAGAAGCCAGTAGAGAGCAAGCAGAAATTAAAGAATTAGCAAACCAATTAAAACATTACCAAACTCTTTATCAAAAACGAGTAGCCCAAGATTTAGATGCTAACCAATTACAATCAGAAATTCAAGCCTTAAACCAGGCTCTGTCTACCCTAACCAGTCAGGAAAAAGACTGAGCAACTAGGTATCAGGATTTAGAAAGATTAACTAATCAAACTAGCCAAGAAAAACAGAAACTAACTAAATATCAGGCCATGTTAGAACAAAAAATAGAGGATTTAGGTAAGCAATTAATTTTTACCGCAAGACAGAAAATTAAAGGCAAAAAAGCAGCTGAGGAGTTAGTAAATAAGTTAGAAAGTAATTGACAGGCTGATAAAGATAATTGAGCTACCGAAAAAGAGCAATTGTTAGTTCAACAAAAACAATTAACCGAGCAACAGAACCAAGAACGACAAAACTGAGCCAAAAAAACAGCCCAACAGGAACAGCAATGACAGCAAGAGCAAGAGAACTGAAAGCAGGAAAAGCAAGGATTAAAGGGACAATTAGCCCAAACTGAGCAAAAAGAAACCGAACTTAATAGCTTAATTCAACAAAAAGAGCAAGAACTAGCTCAGCAGACTAGACAAATTAAGGAATTAGAACAAGAGTACCAAGAAGAAAAAAAAGAATTAGCCAGCTTTAAAAACCAGTTTGTTCATTTCCAAAAAGTTCATGTAAAGCATAAAATCCCCTGAATTATAGGTAAATTAGACACCACCTTGACTACCCTAGAAGACACTATAAGCCAAAAAGACCAAATTATTATCAAACTAACTAAGCAGCAGCAAGTTTTGGCAGACTTAGCCCAAGAACTAACCCACCAAGACCAAACCATTAAAGAATTAGAGCAATTATTACAGTAAATATGACTGAATACGATTTAAAAAGCTTTCTAGTTTGACTATATAAAAGGGAGAGGGGGGATGTTTGACAAGAAAGATGGAAAGGTGCTTTTTTCAATGAAAAAGCACAAGATAAGCAAGAGAGAGCAAAACCAAGAAATAACTATGTTCAATTGTAAAAGATGTGGAATTACTGCATGAGGTCACAGATCAAGTAATCTTTGCTCCGATTGTGAACTTAATATAGTAGAGACAGAAAAAAATAAAGCAACCCAAACTGAAATTAACTC